TAAAAGAAATAATCATATCCTTGGGTAAGGAATTTTTAAAAAGGTAATGGTAGCATGAAAATTCACTGCCGGCAGGGCTGAGGGGACTGGGGGACTCCAGCGGCAGGCGGGCGGCACGGCTGTCAGCCCCCCCTCCCCGGTGGGGCTGACAGGACTGGGCACCACCATCTTGTGGCTGTGGGCACCGCCATCTTGTGAGGATGTGATGGTCAATTAGCATATTGCCACTTTATTATATAGGATATATATTAAATGTGCCTAGCAGAAGCACCAAAGATAAAAACCTTACTAATGAGCTCATAACTTAAAATTACAAAATACACAAGGAAAGAATCCAGCACGTCAGCAGAAATCCTAAATAGCAGAATTAGTTCTCCTAAGAACTACACATCATGGAATTATTGGACACTGTAGCAGCCAGACTCTAGGGTGGCTCCCATGAACACAGTATCTCCTAGTGGCCATGCCCTCTTGTAATCCTCTCCCCCAAGTGTGGGCATAATGTGTGGCTTACATCTAACCAACAGGATGCAGCAATAGTGAAGAGATTTATGTGGCTCTGTATATGTGATTATGTTCCATAAGGTGGTGACGCCCATCTTACTGAGACACTCTCTCCCTGGCTGGTTTTGGAGAAGCAAGCTGCCATGTTGTGAGCTGCCAACATGGAGAGGGGATTAGGCAAGTAAAACATGGCACAGAGCTGAGGCAGCCTCTAGCGAACAGGAGCAAAACAGTGAGTCCTCAGTCCAGCGGCCTGGAAGCTGCTCACAGCCATGAAAGCACTGAGGGAGAGCCTTTCCCATTTGGGCCCCAGATGAGACACCAGCCCTGGCCAACATCTTGATTTACGGCCTCACAGAGGGCCCAGCGAAGCTGTGCCCAGACTCCTCATCCACATACACTGTAGACGATAAATATGTGTTGTTTTAAGCCACAAAGTTATAATACTATTGTGCGGGAATAGATAAATAATGCAGCTACGGACTGCCATATATGTTTCAAGTGCTTAAAGAAATAAAAGGACAGATAAACATGAAAACATAAGACAAAGAGAATAAAGAGCAGGAAGATTGGAAAAAAAACACAAGTAGGAAGTCTGATTTAAAAAAACCTAATTCCTAAAATGATTTAACTCAATGGATGGGTTAAACAGCAAATTGAAATCTGTTGAAGAAATAATACATGGACTATAAAACAAATCAACGAAAGTTTATCTATTTCAATTTATAACACACAATACAGATAGTAAACGATGGAAAAACTTGAACGAGAGATAGAGGATTGATAAACACAAACACTGACTGGACAGGGACTAGAGAATGACAGAGTACAGAGAAGAGAAGTAGAAAGACTACAAGAAATAATGGCTGAGGATTTTCCAGAATTGATGAGACATCATTTATCAGGTTCTAGAAGCAATTTAGACCCAAGAAAGATAATTATAGTAAACACACTGGGGTGAATAAAAAACACCAAAGTCAGAGAAGATTATAAAAGCAAACAATGAGAAAAAGTATCCAGCCTCAAGGAACAATAATAGCAATACAAACCAGTAGAATAATATTTCCAAAGTTCTAAGAGAAATTGTCGACCTAGAGTTCTATATTCAGCTAAATGATCAATGAGAGCATAAAATAGATATTTTCAGACAAACAAAACCTGAGAGATTTTCACCACTAGTAAATCCTAATTTTAAAAACCCACTAAAATATGTTCTTCATGAATTAAACCCCCCAAAAAGGAATGTGATGCAAAAAACAATGAAATTTGTGTATGACTAAATCTATACATTATTTAAAAATATAATGATGACTACATGAGGGGTGTAAAAGAAAATTTTAAATGCTATAGAAAAGAATATATAAAATGTGCGAGGTGTGGTAGAATTTGTGTTCTAAGATCCTTCACTTGTTTGAGAGGACAATAAATATAATGATTGATTTGTGTACTTTGTTAATTTTAGTATATGTGTTCAAATTGGAAGGGTGAAAACAGAAATAGGAGGAAATAAAATGTAAAACATTATTACTACCTACATTTTACAAAACATGAAACTGAGGCTTGTTAAAGTGACCGACTTACCCAGCCAATAACTACCATAATGTGACTTAAATTCATGTGTTTCCATTGCAAGTTCTGTGATTTTTTTCCCTTCTATGTCATATAGACTCTGATTTAGGCAATACATGAATATAACAATATGTTACTCTAATGTTCAAATCAATAAGGCAAAAACCTCACACTGATGCAAGAATATCTTTATATTAACAGGACTTTGGGGTAGAAGAGCTGTGAATTTACCTAGCAATCCTCTTATTTCTCATTTCCATTTCATCCTTACCTACCCTCTAACCCACTAGTTCCTACATGCTCCACATTATTTTTCTCATAGGCTCTCATTTTTACTGTTTTTTTCTCTCTTCCTCCTTCCCATTAAAAATATTTTTAATTTTGTACATGTTTGTATATGTATATACATATGTGTAAACATGTATATTTATGAATCATACATGCTTACGAATTTTTTAAAATCCCAATGTATATGTTGTCCAGAGTGGTAAGTTATAAATGCATAGTTTTTATGGGGATACAGTGCGTTTGAAAGATTTCTACAAAGATGGAAGTTACAAAATACAGTGTTGCCCAGATCTGCTTCATTCTATTGTAGTTACCCTATCACTGAAGCACGAATGTAATGTCAGAAAGCAGCAGGGCTATCTGGGACGCAATCTGGGCCCCAAAGCTTAGCAGTCACAGATAGTCCCCTGGTAAATTGTTGCTAGAGTCAGCCTGTATCCCTGCCTTACAGATTCCCTTACTCCTTGCCAAAACCATTTCGATTGGTTTCTCAACCACACTTTTCTGTTGAAGCCAAGCAGGAAAGTCTTCAGGGCGTGCCCAAGACTGTAGTTCAAACTCCTAACCACAGTTAGTCATGTTAAATCATTGTCACTGACCCCCCTCCACACATACACACACACCCCAACTAGTTTGCCTACAGATACATCTGCAATACTTGTTGAGGTAATAAACTTCAAGGGATATAATCTGCCTACTAGCATACATAAAAGCATGTATGCCTTTGGAATCAACTCTGGGTCTCTTACTATACAGCTTGCCAGATGTATAAAAACAATACAAAATCAAGTTCATAGCCACTTTAACACAGCACCAGCTGATAATGTCCTGCCGTCAGCATTATCAACCCAAAGATCTATAGCTAAATGTACCATGAAAGAAAGCCATGCATTTCTATTATAAAGACATAAATGGTATTTTATACTGTGAAATAAATCTATAGAGCGATGGTATTAGTCAATTCTTATATCTGGAGGCACAGAAATCTAAAGTAATTAAAACCTAAACAAATTTAGATAATTGTCCCACTAACCAAAAATTAAATAAAGTAACCAAGTAAGAAAATAACACATAACTTTCTCCTTTTATTTCTCCCTATTCACTAAAAGCCAATTTCTCCAATGTTCCCTTCCAACCACCCCACTTTGAGTCCCCAAAAGATAACCTACAAAAGAAGAAAAAGTTTATGGACCTTGATAATCCCCAAACAGAATCATCCATCTCAGAATGGCTAAAATTTGACTGTATCCTGTTTCACAATTACTCATAGCTGGTTGAATAACATCGTTACTAAGAATTAATATGTCTACTAAGCTCAAGTACAATTTCCTCTTTTATAAGTGCATGGAAATACGGTGATTGCAACAACAAAGATCCCACTTAATTGAGCCACTGAAGATTTTTGGAGTACGCTTTGTAGTAGTGAAAACATAATAAAAATAACGGATGGTCCTTTAGCAGACAGGGGCAATGGGTTAGGGGGAGAATGATAAATAGAGAATTACAGGTAAAGGATTAACAAGCAAAAGAGCTAACTGTGTGGTCTCAGAAAATGGTACTGGCAAATTAGAGATAAAATTCATGATTTCATGAAGCCAGAGCTGGGCTGTGTAAAACTGAAGCCCTTATTCTCACGGTGATAAGTACAAAGTTCTGTCCGCTGATTTGCAAAGCACAGTCATTAACGCCAGAGTCAGGGTGGTGGAAGGAGCAGCAAACATGCAGCAGTGTTCTTGGATGCCCTAAATAAGATGACGGCAGGGTAATAAATAACACGACAGAGCTCATCTCAGCCTTGTTCAGGGAGAGTTCCTCTGGAATGGGGTTAATTCAGATTTTAAGGACTGCTGAAATGTTTAACAGAACCCAAAGTGATTAGCAGTTTTCTAGGCTTGACAACCTCTCTCTATAAAAGATCAGAAAAGCTTAAGAATATAAAAAACTGAAAAGTCAGTTTCATAATCCTAGTCCCTCTCCTTCTTCCACAACACACACACACACACACACACACGACAAAACAAAACAACTGACCACTCTGTCTCCCTTCACAGAGAATCCTCTGTTCAGCCTCCATTTTTTCCCCTCCTCTTCTATTTTGCTTCAGGGAGGTCTAGAGATAGTCTTTTCTCCGAGTATCTGTCTTACATCGTGTGTAGCACAGAAGCCCAGGCGACACACAGGGCCTACACCACAGTCAACATTCTTTCCCTCCCTTTAGACAGGTCAGCAGCTTTAGTGTATCCAACAGTCAATTTCTGCAGGAAGCTCAGAGAACAGCTTTGTCAATGGCTCCGCTCCCCATCACTTCCATGATTCATTACATATCCTCTCTCGGGGTTCTCTTCTAAATCACTCATGACCAAACCAAAAGGCATAAATTAAAAAAAAAAAAAGAAAGAATATTGGCAGCAAAGAGCAAATAAAGCAAACCAAATAAAAAAGATAAAACTGAGGACCCACAGACCAGATGATAAAAACAATATTCTGCTGACATTTCAATAAAGTGATCCCCGTGGCAAAAACTTAATTGTTGCTTTGTGCCTGCACTCCCAGATTTCTCTTGTTTGGGGCTGGACACAACTTTTCATTCCTCTGTGTCCTCGGAGCCTCACAGGGAGCCAGCATTATTTACTACTTACTTGGGCTTGCTTGCATACTTTAAAAGGGTGAAGTGTTTCTTGGTAGAAAAGCTGATGATAAGCCTGGAGGTCGAACCAGAAGTACACGCTGTTCTTCCACAGCTGCCGATGGAAAAAGCACAGATGACCACCCAATTATTAAAGCTCTGCAAAGCTCTGACTTCAGATGTAAACAATTGCTTTTGCTTCTTGCTGTTACCATAGATCATCTTCCATTTAAGATAGTTTTCTATTTTATCACAAATTGGCAACATACAAAATATTTATTGGTCCTCACTAGAACATTATATTTTTGCATGTAGGCTTCTCATATAATTGGTCATTAAAATAGTAAGTGTTCTAGTTAACAAAGAGCAATCACATATTTCTGGCACGGACCCCAAATCTAAAGGTACTTTGATACATATGGGCAAATGTACATCATGCCAGAACCAAACAGAACTCTTCATTTGAACTAGTGAAATACTTTTCATTTGAGCAAAGTGAACACTTTCTGATTAAAAAACAACAACACTAAAAAACAAGTTTGCCACTACCCACTGTAATTTGTAATTCTCATAATTATCAAAAATAAAACTGTAGGATAGAAATCAACTCTGAATATAATGTATTACACTGAAACAACGTTATAGGAAAATAAACTGTTAACAGTGCAAGTCAATTCTTGTCTATCTGTATTTTACTTTTCTAACATTTAAGTAGGGTAGTGAACCTAAATATTTAGTATGAAATTTCTTACCAGAGATGGAATGTTAACATCAAGCATAATTATTTGAGTACTGAATTATTTCAACCTTTATTTTAAAATGAAGTATAAAATTATGTTTAAAATAATAATTTTCTACCTCGTTCCCCGAATGCTCACAGAATTTAGTAAAGAAGAATCCAGCTCTATTCTCTACATACAACGATTGCAACAAATTTTCCATGTCAGATCCTCCCAAGGCACCATCTGCCATGGTTTTAACCTAGATAACAAAACAGAAGGCCATGATCCACCCGAAACATTGTCATTTTTATGGCACTGCACAACTGGTTTCATAAATTCTGTGAGGCTGTCATGTCCCAGAGGACTATTTTATTTTTGTCCCATGTATGTAATCAATGCAGTATGTTTGCATCTGACTGTCATATAAGGTTCATTTCTGGAGCCAAGTATAGCAGCCGAGTTCATTTTATCCTAAACCAATCGGATTTCAAGCTTAATGTTAGAACGACTTCGCAATCTCAACGATTTTCTTGTTTCAGGCACAGCGATACCATTTTAGGAGTCTCCCAAATCACTGTTGGTGGCCTCTTTCCTGCATGTTTACTGTTAGTTTAGCCTTGGGGTGATGCTGTAATAGCTACAAGAAAGTTATAAAAAGAAGTATCTTCAAGGCCTCTCAATGCTGCTCATTAACAGTCCTGAGGGGGAGGGGTTCCCTCCTGGATAGTCTCACCCCATACAGGTCACGGCCGTCAGGGCGTAAATGACAGAAGTTCTCATAAAACTGCTATTTATGGGCTTCCCTGCCAATAATGTTGGCAACCCTAATACCATTCTTGAAACACAGAGAGCTGGCCATTTATTTCTTCAAGCACAAGAGTGACTCTAGAATCCAAAAGGGCACCTACATTCATATTAACTCTTTGCTATTTGTTGTTTGGAACCTGGACTTCTTTCTTATCTTAAAATAACTGTGGCATAAACGATTTAGGGTTTAAGTACGGTTCTTGCTCTCTCTCTGTTACAGTGTCTCTGCCTCTCTATCGTCCCACTAAACAAATTCTTAGGTGAGAATTCAATGTTTTTATGATGTCTAAGCATTGGCATTCCAAAACGAAAATATCATTATTTTGGTAGGAAGAATACCCTAATTAGAAGGAAAGGAGAACTGTTTGCTTAGAATAAAATAGTTATATAATATCATATCTAAGTGTTCAGACTATATCAGGACTACCAAGCTAAAGTATAATCCTTAGGGAATGTGAAATTGTCATCTAGAATTGGTGTGCTAAGTCCACATTTTCAAGGTAGCCACACTACAAAAATACTTCATAAAAAGTGCTTCATAAAAATTTGAAGCTTCCAAAACATAACATCAAATATTATTTTTTATCGTGTTAAAAATTTAAAATCCTAGAGAGTCTTATTTTGTGTTTGAAGTGTCCTCATACCAAAACCAGAACACAGCTGTTTTTGAAAACAGCAATCAATCTATAACAATAAAAGTATAATATGCTAATTAGACTGGATGTCCTTCCAGATGACATTCCGGACGAAGCCGGGGCAACGAGGGAAGCCCAGGTCGCTGGTACCAGAGGGAAGCCAGTGCCGGCAGCCGGGGGAAGGAAAGCCTACTCTTGCACAGATTTCGTGCATCGGGCCTCTAGTGGAATATATGGCAACATGGTACTACAAAAGGAAACAGAAGAAATTTTTGTGTAAAAAATCTTGTCATGAGGAAAAAATAAAATGTGTTGTTTAGTAAAGAAAAAATGTTATGGTAAATCAATAAAAATTCTCTAAAATCAAGGGACATTGATCAGTTAAAATAGGAATAAGATTATTCAGTCCTCAAAATACTTACCAAAGGTTCTTCTGAATAAGTAAATCTTCTCTCCAGCTCGGGCTTCAGGCATTCCGAAATGTCGGTGTAGGATGTCAAATGAATAACATTGTATCTCTCTGACATCTGCTTTGACCTAAATTAGATGAGAACTAATGGATCAACGGGCATATTTTGAGCGCCTCTGGTATACACGGCACCAAACCTCAGAAGTGCTTCTTAGCATTGTAAGAGAATTAGAAAAAACAAAAGCAAGTGTGAGCATCAGGTCCAGGCCCGAGGAAATAGCTGAGAGAACGCAGTATGCAGAAAGAAAACTGTCAACACCGTAACTATTGTTTGAATGAATTCAAGAATATATTCTAGTTGCCAAATGACTGGGATGGATAATAAGTGCTACAGGAGTATAAGAATGAGAGGTTCCTTTGAGGTATATTAGTAAATAAAGAAGTGAGACTTTCCCTGAAAAATGGATAGGAGATAATGGTGGGGGGTGGTGTGTGTGTGTGTGTGTGTTTACAGGGGTTCTTTTAGATGGGGAGAATAATGAGCAATATATAAAGATAGGCAGGAAACGCCTGTTTAAAAGGCAGCAAGTTAACTAATTTGCTTAGAGCAAGAGAACACTAACAGTTAAGTGAACACTATCTGCTACAATATAACTCACATTCTCATATGTAATTCTCACAATAAGGATTTCTATATGGTAGTTTGAGATAAGATAATGGAAGACTTTGGAGTTAGATTAATGATTTAGGACATTATTATTATTTTTTTATTTTTTGTTAATCCTCACCCAAGGACATTTTTCCCCATTGCTTTTCAGAGAAAGAAAAGGAGGGAGGGAGGAGGCGGGAGAGAGAGAGAAACGTTGATGTGTGAGAGACACATCTATTGGTTGCTCCCCACACGCACCCCAAGCAGGGGCAGGGAGCAAACCACAATCCAGGTACATGCCCTTGACTAGAAATCAAACCCGAAACCCTTGGGTGTGCTGGCTGACGCTCTAACCACTTAGCACACTGGCCAGGGCAGGACATTTTTAAAAATATTTTCTTATCCTGCTCCCTTACCCACACCCCACTGCAATTATTCTAAACCTTACTTTCCAGATCCATAAAACACGTTTGCTCCACCTCACAAATCTAACTCCACTCCATTCTACCAGCAGACTACTTTACAGGTTCTTCTCAGATCAAATGTAGGCACAGCATGTTTCAGTTTCTCAGACAAAATACAGTACAGCACGCTTCAGTGTCTGCTCTTATTCACCCACGTAGCAGATACCTTTCTTTTTAATTTGAGAGAAAGAGAGAAGGAAGAGAGAGAAAGAGATCAATCTGTGGTTCAGTTTATTTATGCTTTCAGTGGTTGATTCTTGCATGTGCCCTGACCAGGGACTGAACTCGCAACCTTGGTGTATACAGATGAAAGATGCCCAAATAAGAAAGAGGCAAAACTGTCACTATTTGCAGATGACATAATGTTATACATAGAAAACTCTAGAGACTCCACCAAAAATCTTTTAGAACTAATAATTCAATTCAGCAAAGTTGAAGAAAGAAAGAAAAGAAAGGAAGGAAGGGAGGGAGGGAGGGAGGGAGGGAGG